TCGACGTGAAGACAAAACTGTAGGTAGATGAAACTGATGACAGTCTGAAAATACTGCATGAGATTCGATTTGAAATCCGGAAAATTGGTCCTCATGATTTGTGAAAAATTCCACGCAGACCTTATTTCCGGGTAGGATGAGTTCCGTTGAGTTGAGATATGTCAGCTGTCCACAAAATTTACCGAATAGACGGGAGTCATTACATGAGCCGATAGATATGGAAAGATAATCGTTGCAATATTCTAGTGAGAAATTGTTAAATCTTAACCTTACCCCGTTACCCTCAGTAGTAGTTATCTCCCATCTCTGTCTGAGCTCCGGTGGATAAGAACCTTGGCCAAAATTTGGACTTTGAATAACACCGCATATCCAAGTGTTGTCCTTAAATGATGTGCCACCCCCTCTACGTGTATTCGTTAGCCTCCCACATTCGTTCAACGCACACTGTTCAATTAACGTCCACGCTTTATAATCCGTCAGCGCCGGTAATTGCAACAGAGATCTCTTCAAGCATTCGCGAATTAATGAACGCGCATTAGACGATGGTAAGTGATTAATGTGACCTTTGAGACCACATTCGGAGAAAATCGTGTAAATTGAAAGGAATATGCACCACGTCTTTTTGATTCCCATCGCCAAATCTCAATTTGACTGCCGCTTAAGTAGTGCTGCACGCATCTGGCACGCGCGAAAAAGCGCCCCTCTTTAACTTGTGTAATCAGTAAATGGGCTCAGTGCAATCTGATAATGGTTCTTTTATTGATTCCGATACATTAATATTTAAAACAATGAGACAAATGTGTTAAATAAAAGAGGTGAAATTCATTATTTGGTGTTCATTATTTGGTGTAGTGGATATGTGTATTATGGCTGTTTTAGAAGACGCTGTCCCGTTGCCGTACCGGCCTAACGTGACAGGTTCCCAATAATTTGCCCAGGCAAGCCTCGCCTTAAATTTTGACTCACTTACGTCAGGCCAACCCTAACTTGTATAATTAAATGGAGGATGGACCCTCTGTTACACGGATCCTATGTTTCGTCACACCAGTCTCAAATTTTAGTTTCAGTTTTTTCTTCTTTTAATCTTGTTCCCAAGTAGTCTTTTATTATTAATGAATTATGATGTAATTAAAAGTAATTAAAATGATAATCTTTTTAAGCTCTAGCATATTTTTACGAAGGTTTATGGCCAAACAAAAACAGTAGCGTAATGAAATATGTAAAATAAGTGCACATGTATATACTTAAATATAAATTGTAATACACGGGCAGTCACAGATGAAAGCTGAGCTTTGCTATTAACATTGACATCTGATTTATTACACATTTCTCTCATTTAGATAACAATGTACTGTTATTATTAGGCCATCTCGCTGGACCATTTATTGTATCGTGTCATGCTTTTTTTTTGCCTTGGAAAAGTAGCATATTCCCAGACGGAGACGAACCCATGCTCTTCAGCTTCGTAGACGGGCACTCTAATTCATAGGCCATCCGATACAGATGGATGCTTACGATCACATCTTCAAAAATGGATGGCTTCTCGAGTTTATCCAAATTTTGAAAGTGAGGACCTCATTAAGGTTGTTATTCCAATTCCTATCCTGTATTCGCCTATTAATATAATGTCAGTTATCATTTAGGTCTGAAGTAAAATCATAGTTGGATATACTAATAAAGAATAAGAATAAAATGCACTTTTATACCATGGTAGACCGAAAAAATGACCTAGGCCTTGGCTTGTAGGGAGGTTTTTGCCATTGCATCCCATAATTACAGTATTTTGGCAAAAGTCACTTAGTACTAATAGACATTTTTAGAATAGTAACAAGTTATAGCAAGGAAGTCCACTAAGTATCCAAGCAGGCTGCTCCACGCGTTTAGCAGCTCCACACGTTTAGCAGCTCCACGCGTTTAGCAGCTCCACACGTTTAGCAGCTCCACACGTTTAGCAGCTCCGCGCGCTAAGCAGAGGAAGTGCTTAGCCAATGTGTTTAGTTTTGCGAAAAACTAATTATAGAATCAAACGTGTAACATTGCCAAACATGTGTAGCATTTTTTCTGTGGCTTGAAGAGCTATCGGCGTTTCTAAACGCGTTCAAGTGCTAAACGTGTGATATATGTGTTTAAAAGCTAAACACTGTTTTTACAGTGATGATGTAATCAGACCCTGCTTAACCCAGCAGGCAAACGACATTGATTCTACGTTGATTCAACATTGATCCACCAAAATTAACGTTAATTCAACGGTGAATCAATGTCGTTTTTCTGCTGGGTAAGGTACCCGAGGGAATGAAAATGTATGTTCTCACCAGTTTTTGGACTGCTCACATGGCTGAACAGTCGCATTTTCTAAATTAAGGAAACACATTTTGCTAGACTATGCTCAACCTCAAAACCACAATAAAACGTGACGAGTGGTTATAGTAAGGTCGGACTCGGGTTTCTGCCGCCGTCCAGTGGGACACAGAAATGCCGTGTAGGTAAAAGAGCTCAACTTTGCATGTTATCAGGCGCAATTCTCGAAAAAAGTCTATTTCACACAAAAACAACGATAGCTGAACGCACAAGTGTGCTGATAGTCCATTTTGTCAAAACTCATTAAGGGGTAAATATGACAACCAAGGAAGCTTATGCTATGTTATATCTACTTTTCCATTTAATAAGATTGAACAATAGGAAATGTAATTTATCTCATTTTCTATGAATTGTCTTTCATGGACCACTTATTCTTATCATTATTGGTACTCAACCATATAGGAACACTTGGTGCAGGCATATTACAACATGAATCATGTATACTAGGCAGATATTTCTATTGTCCTAGGCAATTTACTGAAGAGTATCGGTTTTTGTGAACGTTTCCTCTTCATTGTTCCGTTTGGAGCAATACTGAGATTAATTGATATCGATGAGCTTTTAGTAGTAATGCAGGAAATGGTGCAACATCTATCTGTGGTGGTAACCAAACGAATCCAGAAATAATTGGTTACTGTTGATCCTTGACATAATCTTTCTGTCATTACAAATCTCAACGGACGCAAACTGACACACAGTTCAATTCAAAGTCGAATTGCATACACATAATAGGCCTCGTATACATTTGTTATTGGTTATCCGGCGAACTCATACTTGTCGTTTTTTTTTCACTTTTATTAGAAAGGCCCAAAACCACACATTTACATACCCCTTCAACCCCCATGGTAATAAGGCGCACATTTGGTAAATTGCTGTGTGGTCTCCCATAGTCTGCCCTATTAAAAATTCACAAGCACCCTGCTACCAAGAGAATAAACATCAAAGTTTTCAACAGTCTTTGGACTGTTCACATGGCTGCACGTCTGCTCAGTCGCATTTCCTAAATTGAGGAAACAAATTTTAAATGAAATAAGTTATCAAGTATTTTTTCAAGCCCATTCAGCTTGCGTGATTGAAGAAAGAGATGAAAGCCCCGTAGAGGAAAGCTTTATTATGCTCTCTTGGTTAATGCATGTTTCTAAAGGGGTTGAGATCTATTGCGTCTTTCAATGATCGTTTTATTGCCATTTGTTTCATAACGATGATGAAATGGAATAATCACTGTATATTTAATACGCATGTTCCAGTAGGTTTTTTTTTTCAGTCGGTTGTTTAAACTAAATTGGACATTTTTATTGAGATATTCAACAAATATAATTTCAAATACATCTCAAAAGGTAAAAAGCCAGGATTGCATCCCTAAAAGGATTGAAATCTATAGGATGTGGTTGCATACGTTACCAAATAGCGTGTTGATACACCATAATGTNGCAAAATATGGTTAAAAATATTTGCGGGAGCATCGGCTCACTGGCTACCAACCTTGGTCAAAATCAGGGGTCATCGGGGGCACTAGCTATGGGGCCCCGTATTTTGTCCTGCTAATATGGTCTGGACATATTTGGTGCCCCCCCCCCCCCGATGGTCCCCGGCAGAATGCACCAGTTCCCATAGTGCCCCCATGCGCATGCGCAGTCCCTTGTTAAATTCGGGGTTCAGTAAAGGAAACATGTACACAGTGTGAGACCTAGACGAAAGTTGGCATACTTTTGGTGATTTATATTGAGATGCTCGCGACTAGTAATTTTTACGTTTACGCCATGCAGTAGAACATAGCTTAGAGGTGACCCACATTCTCAAACCGTTTTGTACATGATCACGAATTTTGAAAACAGTTAAGGGACTATAAAGAGAAGAACTTTCAAGAATTTACTGTTACAAAAGTATAACAGAATGCACCGTAGTGTCAAAGAAACCAGGCCCACTACTGTGTAATATAGCGTATTTTGTCATGTTTGTCAAAATTAACGCCAGGCTTGCAGGAGACTATCTATTACACTGATTATATCTCGGCGACGCGGTTTAATAGCTAGGCCCCTGCAGGGCTGGCGCTTGTGGTCGGCGGGTAGACCATTAGGGTTTTAGCGGTATTGCTTTCAAGTGAATCGACCATATTTGACCAGCCCAGTTAGTCCACGGGTCATCTGTTCTGAATGCTGCCATAGGGCACGTCTTATAAAATAAATTTGACTCTAACACCCCATTTCCATAGATTAGATCGACCTACTTAAGATCGACCTAACTCCCTGGGGGTTCACGCTAAATAGCTGTCAGCCCGGCGGACACGAAAGTTAATTACCTCCTTACAGCTTGTAGTAGACGGGACGGACATTTAAGTCGGATTATCTGAAAGTAATCTAGTGAGACTCCCCGCGGGGATAGATCGATCTAAAATCTATGGGAATAGAGCCTAAGTCTTAGTTGTGGGGCTTAAAAATCAATATTTTATACATTTCTAAAGAAAACTTCGTGGGTGTGTATTCTAATTGAAAAAAAAAGGTCAAAATACTTTGACCACCGTCCCAAATTGAATCAGATATGAGGTATCTTGCTCGTGTCGTGCCCCTGGAGATCAAGATGCCAGCCGACTCCCTCACAACCTATAGTTTGGCGTCAGAAATAGCGATCAATCATGATTTGTGTCACCGGCATTGAACTATCAAAACCCCTATTTGTTGTTGCCAATGGCAGCATTCATGTTCGGTACATAAACGTGCAGCAACCTTACCTGCCTCCAGACTTTGAGGACTACGTGGTTTTTTCTCAACCGCTGAAATGATTTAAATGCAAATTTATTATTGTTATTATTTTTTTGGAAAATTTTTGGGACACATTATAGCACATGTTAAGATTCCAATACATTGTCTATTTACAACAGCGCAACTTGTTTTTTTCTGCATCACTTACTTGTAAACCAAACACGATATGGTTTCAGCTCAATCTCTTCGTCAGATTTCTCTACGCATACACGGATGGCATCTGTTTTTAGAACGGTCTCTGCTTCTATCGGAATTTTGCGTCTCTTATCGTTTACCCTGATAAAGTAGCCAAAATGCATTCTGGGACAGTATGTCTCTTGAAGATAGGACAACTCGTCTTCCACTGTTTGTCGTGCGTTGAAGTATATGTTACGCTCAGCGTTATCTATCACTAGTTCAATGTCCTTTTCTGCAGTGAAGAGATGAAGCACAGATGTTTTGTCTTCCAGACGGAAGGAGGCGTGGTCAAAACTAACATCTGGGATGCCATTTACACAATGGTAAGGTTTATACTTCCTAAATAGACGGATGATCAAACGATGGAACAGCCCCGGAGGAAAGAAACCGTGAGGAAATGAGATGAATAAAGATGTTTTTAGAGCAATCTCAGAAAGCTTATAATCCGCCAGGTCATTGTATTTCAGCATACAAGGCACGACGAATGTTCTCCTTCCAGGCTGTGAGGGTGGCATCCTTGGGGATTCAACTGATTCAGATATGTCAAATATCAGGTCGAAATGCTCCATCAGTTGAATTACTTCTGTCTTCTTTTGGTCATCTTTTTCTCCTGCAAATACACATCAAACACCTCCTCGTCTAGTTCTCCTTTTTCCAGACCTAGTTTCAGAAAATCCAGGCGATCCTCTCCACTTTTACTGACGGGCGGGGTCATGATTTTAGAAAAAAGATCTGCCAACCACTGTGGATCCAGTATGACGACATTTTCCAGTCCATCAACTTTGAAGTGTAGGACGTCTCCCAGACGGTGATGGTAAGGAATGAACATTTCATGTAACTCGGCCTCAAGGATCCCCACTGAGCGCGCTATTTCACGCAGCTCTTTTATATCTATGATTGGCTTTTGCTCACTCTTCTTTGCCAAATCCATTTCCAGTTGGAACCATCTCACTGGGTGCATTTGATTGTCACTGCTAAGACTACAAAGATGCTCGATCGTTTCTTTAATTTTACTAAACTCTTCATTTTTGGCCAAGTTACTTATGGCAAAGGAAAGGTAAATGTGTTTTTTTAGTTCATGCTTGTCGTCGAGATAGTCCCTGAGATTTCCAATTATCTCCTCAGCAGCTTCCTATAAATAATACGGTGTGGGTGGAAATTAGTCTTCAATTTCAAAATGTTTTAAAATGCCAAAGTTATTGNTTCTTTAATTTTACTAAACTCTTCATTTTTGGCCAAGTTACTTATGGCAAAGGAAAGGTAAATGTGTTTTTTTAGTTCATGCTTGTCGTCGAGATAGTCCCTGAGATTTCCAATTATCTCCTCAGCAGCTTCCTATAAATAATACGGTGTGGGTGGAAATTAGTCTTCAATTTCAAAATGTTTTAAAATGCCAAAGTTATTGTAAGGGTTTATAACAGAAATGAGTTTTCCTTCATCTTATTATTCAGTAATGAATCTACCTCTGAGCTGATTAAAAAATAATAATGCCCTTGAGATATATATAATAACAGCGTTTATATTTCTCATTGTTATGTATAAGCATAGGTCAGTCAAATCCTTTTCTGTCAATTTATTTTGAGGTGAGATAGCAATCGTTATTGGGCCTAACATCATCTTTAAACGAGATTTTTTCACGGGAATTGGCGTAGTTTCAAGTCTATGGGCTTCAATCCGAAGTCGCCATTTTGGTTTGGATATTTTGTATGGATTATGAACATTTTCATTAACTAAAGGCATTATATGCTTTTTCAATTATTAAATATTAACAAAGAAAAAATTGCTGCCAGGGTTACTGCGTTGAAACGGTGTTCGTGGGTGCTCAGGTAAATAAAAACAGAGTGAAACCGTTTTTTGTCATTTTCACCCCAAAATCGCATGTGTGTAAATGTTAATTAACTTAATCACTAAACACTGAAGATTCATCTGTTAAACAAAATAATGTATGTAAGGCTGTAAATAAGGAGTTTTTGGCAAACGCTTCGAATATCTTTTAAGTGGCTATTGCAAAACAGAATACATTTTCCTTAACAACACTATTCAGAATATCTATCTAACAACACTATTCATATCTATTTAAGAGACGGGGGATAGCTTGTGCATGGGGTTTTAAAATCGGAGAGGGGTAAAGGGGTAACTAAGAGATAAAAGAATTATTAGATGAATTAAGAAAATGAATAATCACCTGTGAAGGCAATTTGTCCTTATGAGTCCCAATAAGCAAAACGTACGGGCTGACGTTCTTGTCTTCTTCCTTCAATTTTCCAACTGTGTGCATATGGATAGAGTTCAACCAATACACTATAAACTCTGAAACACGAATAGGAAGCGTTCGGTTAAAGATGCCTGTTTATCACAATGTATTTAACCAAAAAAATCCGACATGGTCACTTTCGTTTACTCAAAGTAAGACACGGCATAAATTGCTTATGCCCCCCTTACACTGGATGGCGTCCTCTCTGCGCCTCGTAGCAAGGCCTTCTTTGAGAGTAAAAGAATAATTCTTTACATGTCGACAACCGACAGCTCATTGAGCATTCATTTTACATCCAAAGCGATGTTTACCTCCTTTCTACGGCCATACCGATGCCAGTTTTATGCTCGCACAAAGGACGCAGAAAGAACGTCGTGCAGTGTAAAGGAGGCTTTACAGACCTCAATTTAACAGGGGACCTCACAACAACCTACTCAGATATAAATGTAAACCCCATCATACCTTTCACCGTCTTCTCTCTTCTGTATACACGGATTTTGGCATCGAGGTCTACGTCAAGCCGAAACACCAACAAGTAGATGTTTTGCTCTGAGAGGAACGTCTGGTGCGTGGTGTAATAGACATCTTGACCAGCAAAATCCCAAATTGTGATCTGTTTCTCGGGATGGACAGGTTCACCTTGAGCAAGCGACTCTATTTTATCCAGTAGTCGCCGGTCGATATTCTTGCTGTAAATTTCCTCTACGAGGAATACAAGCAGATTAGTTCCAAAAGTATCGTTAACAATATAATTAATGATGTACGTTCAAGTTATCTATTTGCCAATACTTGCCTGGACATACACATGACATTGTCTCTTTTTACGAAATGTTCCCCTTGTGTCTTACTCTTTCATAATACACAGAAATAAACCTAAAAATAAGACCATCGGCAACATCAATTCTCACTCACTGTTCTACTACATGTATTAACAAATTAACAATAAATGCAGAAAAACCCAAAGAAATGGTGTTTGACTTTCAAGAGATGGACATAATACAACACCCTTTGTGCTATGTGATAAATAATAAGGGGTTTTGATAGTTCAATGTCGGCGACACAAATAATGATTGTTACTCACCTGCAATTCTGTCAGGTGAGACACTGCCACCAGGGGGAGCGGCTGTAGAATGAAGAAAGCGGTTAAAATGAAATGTATCACCTACTCAAGCACAGGTTTCATATGTTGATATTAATGACCTTTTTGACATTTTGCTCTTGTCGAAGTTCAAGTTGTGCCAAAACTATTCGCCGGTACGCCCACTTGCAATTCAGTACAATCTCCGATTATTCTAGGACGTGTGGCAATATACATGTATCTGTTTATTTTCCAGGGCTAGTGAAAAATACAAAATGGATGATAATGCTAATAATTCAGAACTTGAAATTCTTCAAAATTTAGACTTATCAGGCATGACCGAGCGCTAATAATAAATCAAAGTCACTTTAGAATATACATGTAATTACGATGCAAACATGATGGGTTAAAAATGCTTTTCACAATTAACAATTATTATTTATTTTATTACACTGAGTCATATAGTACACACACTGGACAAAAGAAGTGTCACCTCCTAACTCAGAGTAATGAAAGTAGGCAGATCTTGGGTACTTATAATGCCTGGTCTACTTATAATGTGACTAATGAGTATAAAACCGCTATACCATGGAATTGTATTGTTGGTCTTGTACATGTACAGCNGTTACAGTAAGGGTTTATAACAGAAATGAGTTTTCCTTCATCTTATTATTCAGTATTGAATCTACCTCTGAGCTGATTAAAAAATAATAATTCCCTTGAGATATATATAATAACAGCGTTTATATTTCTCATTGTTATGTATAAGCATAGGTCAGTCAAATCCTTTTCCGTCAATTTATTTTGAGGTGAGATAGCAATCGTTATTGGGCCTAACATCATCTTTAAACGAGATTTTTTCATTGGCGTAGTTTCAAGTCGATGGGCTTCAATCCGAAGTCGCCATTTTGGTTTGGATATTTTGTATGGATTATGAACATTTTCATTAACCAAAGGCATTATATGCTTTTTCAATTATTAAATATTAACAAAGAAAAAATTGCTGCCAGGGTTAATGCGTTGAAACGGTGTTCGTGGGTGCTCAGGTAAATAAAAACAGAGTGAAACCGTTTTTTGTCATTTTCACCCCAAAATCGCATGTGTGTAAATGTTAATTAACTTAATCACTAAACACTGAAGATTCATCTGTTAAACAAAATAATGTATGTAAGGCTGTAAATAAGGAGTTTTTGGAAAACGCTTCGAATATCTTTTAAGTGGCTATTGCAAAACAGAATACATTTTCCTTAACAACACTATTCAGAATCATATCTATTTAAGAGATGGGGGATAGCTTGTGCATGGGGTTTTAAAATCGGAGAGGGGTAAAGGGGTAACTAAGAGATAAAAGAATTATTAGATGAATTAAGAAAATTAATAATCACCTGTGAAGGCAATTTGTCCTTATGAGTCCCAATAAGCAAAACGTACGGGCTGACATTCTTGTGTTCTTCCTTCAATTTTCCAACTGTGTGCATATGGATAGAGTTCAACCAATACACTATAAACTCTGAAACACGAATAGGAAGCGTTCGGTTAAAGATGCCTCTTTATCACAATGTATTTAACCAAAAAAATCCAACATGGTCACTTTTGTTTACTCAAAGTAAGACACGGCATAAATTGCTTATGCCCCCCTTACACTGGATGGCGTCCTCTCTGCGCCTCGTAGCAAGGCCTTGTTTGAGAATTAAAAATAATTCTTTACATGCCGACAACTGACAGGTCATTGAGCATTCATTCTACATCCCAAGGGATGTTTTTACCTCCTTTCTACGGCCATACCGATGCCAGTTTTATGCTCGCACAAAGGACGCAGAAAGAACGTCGTGCAGTGTAAAGGAGGCTTTACAGACCTCAATTTAACAGGGGACCTCACAACAACCTACTCAGATATAAATGTAAACCCCATCATACCTTTCACCGTCTTCTCTCTTCTGTATACACGGATTTTGGCATCGAGGTCTACGTCAAGCCGAAACACCAACAAGTAGATGTTCTGCTCTGAGAGGAACGTCTGGTGCGTGGTGTAATAGACGTCTTGACCGGCAAAATCCCAAATTGTGATCTGTTTCTCGGGATGGACAGGTTCACCTTGAGCAAGCGACTCTATTTTATCCAGAAGTCGCCGGTCGATATTCTTGCTGTAAATTTCCTCTACGAGGAATACAAGCAGATTAGTTCCAAAAGTATCGTTAACAATATAATTAATGATGTACGTTCAAGTTATCTATTTGCCAATGCGTGCCTGGACATACACATGACATTGTCTCTTTTTACGAAATGTTCCCCTTGTGTCTTACTCTTTCAGAATACACAGAAATAAACCTAAAAATAAAAGACCATCGGCAACATCAATTCTCACTCACTGTTCTACTACATGTATTAACAAATTAACAATAAATGCAGACAAACCCAAAGAAATGGTGTTTGACTTTCAAGAGATGGACATAATACAACACCCTTTGTGCTATGTAATAAATAATAAGGGGTTTTGATAGTTCAATGTCGGCGACACAAATCATGATTGTTACTCACCTGCAATTCTGTCAGGTGAGACACTGCCACCAGGGGGAGCGGCTGTAGAATGAAGAAAGCGGTTAAAATGAAATGTATCACCTACTCAAGCACAGGTTTCATATGTTGATATTAATGACCTTTTTGACATTTTGCTCTTGTCGAAGTTCAAGTTGTGCCAAAACTATTCGCCGGCACGCCCACTTGCAATTCAGTACAATCTCCGATTATTCTAGGCCGTGTGGCAATATACATGTATCTGTTTATTTTCCAGAGCTAGTGAATAATACAAAATGGATGATAATGCTAATAATTCAGAACGTGAAATTCTTCAAAATTTAGACTTATCAGGCATGACCGAGCGCTAATAATAAATCAAAGTCACTTTAGAATATACATGTAATTACGATGCAAACTTGATGGGTTAAAAATGCTTTTCACAATTAACAATTATTATTTATTTTATTACACTGAGTCATATAGTACTATGCAACATTTTCCATTAAATGTAAAATGCAGCTGTATATGGCTTTCAAAAAGTATTTTTCATTTAGCTACACATGGGTGTACAATAGCCAATAAATTTGAAATAAAATACAAATCCCTGTAATATTTTGCCAATTTGGTAATTTATTGATGTAATTTTTGAAATTATTATACTCTCAGTTTTAATAGTTATATAATTTAGAACGTACATTTTTTCAAAATCAAAATACAAATTTACTGGAATTCGGTTGACGAGTATATTCCAATGAATGCACTCTCTGGAGGTACATGTACACACACTGGACAATAGAAGTGTCACCCCTACCGAACCAATACTATGGGGGAGATAAATGACCGCGGAATGATATGCTCCTGGTATCATTTTAGTAACATCAAATTTCACAAAAAATCACAAAATGAGAACAAAATATACATTCTACCAAAATATGCAGTTTCAAGTCCAAAATTAGTACTTAGTGGCATAGCCACGTGACCTAATAATAGGTGCCAGTCTACGAGGCAAGGATTCATATAATTGTCTGTTGCGTTCAGGGCTTATGCTGGCCCAAGCATGAAACACTGAATATAACAGAGTTTCTCTGCTGGTTAGACGGGCATTTGTCAAAAGTTTTGACATATCATTCCACACATTTTCTATTATGTTTGCATCCGGACTCTGGGCAGGCCACATCACCCTGCGAATGTCCTCTTGGTCAAACCAATCATCAGAGGCAATTTGTCTCTTGATCCAGTGTTTCTGTACCGAGACCAGACCCTCTGCACGGTTCTGACTGAACAATTCAATTGTATCGATATTCTGACATGGTTTATATTCCGCCTTTTCAGGTTAATAACTTGCACCTATAACCGTTAGATAATTGCCTGTATCTTGTCATATTGGAGGAAGACAGGAATAACATTTGCTGAATATGTACAAGACCAACAATACAATTCCATGGTATAGTTATTTTATACTCATTAGTCACATTATAAGTAGACCAGGCATTATAACTACCCAAGATCTGCCTACTTATATTACTCTGAGTTAGGGGGTGACACTTCTATTGTCCAGCGTGTGTAGATAATGGCCTGCCTGTTACCACAAAATATGTTATAATGACTGTAATATATGGAATATGGGATAATAACTCTTCGTGTGAGATCTATATTTCACAATAAAAACATTGTGAATAACTCATAGAAATATAAAACATTCTGTTTTACCACAAAAACGACACTTACAGCTATTATTCTGATATCTGGGCTTGTCTTTAGACCACGTGACCTCCTTTGATGGCTAATCTCTTAAGAGATTTTAACAAACACCAAAACTTTTTAGAAAAAAACCAGGGACTAACTTTGAATGTAAAAATGGATTCATTAACCATTGGTTAGTATGGGAAAATTGTTGTCTTCTCCAGGAAAATTCATTTTTGGCCAGAACGTAGAGTTATTATCCCTTTAATTTATGAAATTAAATATAAATGTCTGATTCCAATCACACAATAAGCTATTAAGACAAACGTGCACCTGTCTGTGCTTGCTGCGTGGCGTCCCAAACATCCTCTTCCAACTCTCGGGATTCCGCTGATGGCGGTAAGTCCGCTTGGACTGTCTGGGAAAATGTCTCTGGTTTCTGTATTCCAATTGCCACTTGTTGTACAAATTGGACTTCTGGATCATCTGAGAAAATACAATTTATACCGTATAATCTATCCCCTCCCCCAAAAAAGAAAGAAATGCAGGATTTTGTTATGACCACAATGCTCAAATTGGCCAAAAAAGCACATCTAATCTATAGAAAACTACTGTTTCATTTATGCATGAAAAAGCCCAAGTTGTCACCGTGGCCAGAGTTCATCCAAGGCGTGCCTCCAATTGAGCATATCTGTGATGTGCTGGGCTGATGACTTCATTACCGCCAGCCACAGCCTTCCAGCGCCACAGAGGTGCACCGTCATAGAGTTAAGAGCAGCACTAGTGGAAGAATGGAAAAGGATGCCCCGGGTCTGTATTCGGAGTCACGTACGGTGTTAGAGGAGGATGTTATTAGCCTGTATTGCATCCATGGAAGTGCACACATGTTACTGAACAATACACTACCATTTATCCAACCATATTTTATGAAAAATGTATTAAAACCATAGATGTAAAACTCTGCGTTTCTATTTTGACTAGCGAATCTAAATGTATCCTTTCCTAAGTAAAGGTATGGCCAATCAAGCTTCAGCTTTACACACTTTATTGTTTACAGATTAAACCAGACTAAGTTTCACAAGAATATTAAGAAGACCAAGGTTCCTCGGAAATGACAGTATCGTAGTTGTATTCGAAGAAATTTGCCGAATAACCTAAAAAGATATTTACGAGTACTAGGGGTGCTTAAGGTTTTTGTCGTTTTCAAACGTAGACAGCATACCTTCAATTCATCACTGATGGGTTTGAAGTAAAATGGCAT